CAACGTGCCAATTTGGTTTGGTTTGATTGTAATGGAAATAAGGGATCAAATAATCCTGCCTGCACATGGGTTGGGGGTTTGTTGATTTGATTGTAATGGAGATGGGATCAAATACCGCCTGCACCTGGGTTGAGGGTTTGGTATGGGGCTCCCCACCCCACTCCCCCAAACCATTTAAGAATGTTAATGGTTGGGATTAAACTGTAAATCCAACTTTACCAATTCCTATGGTGGTGGTGGTGGGTTAGGGTCGAGACCAAATCAGCCCCCACAATGTCCCACACCACATCGTATTGGAAGAGCTTTGATCAATCAAAGCACTTCTATGAATTGTGATTAATACCATTCGATTGATCACTTATTTTATGATATTAATTGATTGGCTTTAAGTTTTCAGATATCATATTTTTCGATATCGTAGTCAAACCTTTATTATAATGCCCTCTTTCTCCCTAAAGTTTAAAGTATCCATACATCCAATATGAATGAACAGTTATATCAGGTGTTTCATAACTTTTTTTTTGTAGTTTTTTTCCTCAAAATGTTTCAGGGAATCGGTTTTAGGCTTGCCTATCTTCTGAAAGTGTTCAAATTCCAAAACAGCCCTTATTTTGAATTTTGGAAAGTTATTTATACAATACAATACTCCCAATACAGGGCATATTATATTGAAATTTTAAACTTGCTCTCTCCTTATGTGTGTGAATTAGATACTTTATTATAATGAATATTGACGTTTTAAAATTACCAGTGTTGCATGCGTTTAATGGAGTAAACTAGCTTTACTTTTATCGGGTCAAATCTATTGTGGTCGAATAACAATTATTTTGTTTGGGGAAGTACTTGAGTAGCGGCCCTCACGTGGTCGAATAACAATTATCGGATCAAATCTGTTGTCTTTTTTTTTTCTCAAGAGGAACTTAGATTAGTGAACGTTGAACTTTACAGTATTATTTTGAGAAGCGCCACAATCTGTTGTTGAAGTTTGTGAATATTGTTCTATGAGTTAGGATGTACTTGATATTGAGGTTTGGGCCATTCGTTGTAACAGAGTGGAACATTGGGTATGCTGATGAATGTTTTAAACCACAACTTTGACGTTCCGCATTATCCATTTAGTTTTTTTTTTTTTTGAAGGCACTATCAGATGTTTTATACGTTTATGCAATTTATCAATGTTTTATACATTTTTTTTATCAGATAAATGTTTTGAGGAGAGTTGCATGGGTGATGGATGGGAAGGTCAAAACGAATACATGGAGGTTGGTAGAGTTGATTTGACGAGCGGTTTTGAAATTGGGAGAGCAATGCTGGGAGACAGTGCTTTGACACTCTAACTTATTATTATTATTAATCCTTAAAAATAATTATTAATAAACCTGTTCATTATTTTTATGGATTAATAATTTAATCCTTCAAAATAATTAATGGCTTTAGATGAATACTTCTATTAATGGGCACTACTAATAAACCTGTTCATGGACTTGCTCGGCCCTGGCACATTTTTTATTGGGCCCAAGGATATTTTGAGATTCGCGGTCTCAACTCTCAAGCTGTTAGTATTAAGTCTAAATTAAGCAAACTTTAAATAAATCTGGGTAGAAATATTATAAATATTAAATATATATATATATATATATAGTAATAGTAGGTATTAAATAATAATTTATATTAATATTTTTATAATTTACTAAGCTACCAGCTACCCGGCCCTCACCTTTTAAATTTTTTTTATATTCCCATATCTCATATACGGATCCCTTTACTATTTGCAGCACGGCACCATCCCCAGAGGCGGCAACAATACCTCAATCCTCACTTACAATCAAGAAAAAACTAAAAAATGTGTGATTGGACAATAACAGGTTATAAAATATAAAATTAAAAAATATAATTAAGATATTGTGAAATATCCATGGGTTCAGAGCTTTATATTCAAACTAGATTCGGGCTCAAAAATAAATCCGATAATCGATTCGGGTTGTGGCTTGGATCTGAACATTTTTATTATCGGAGGTAAAGCCCAATCTGAATCTAGCCCGTGAACAGGTATAGTCGTTAACGTTTATGAGTGTAATTCGGATGAGTTGGGTCTGGTTAAAAGGTCAATGCAGGCCCAATCCTAAAGGTACAAAAACCTCAGATTCTGGTCCAGCCAACTTTATCGATCTTTGTATAGTCATCTTTTATTGAAAGAATTGGTGTATATATTTTTTTGTATAGTCATTTTTTATCGGACTTTATAGCCCAATTTAAGAGTACAATTGATTGAAAATATGCATAAATTTCATTTACAAATGTATATATACATTTCTATATAATTAATATATATGTGTAACTTTTCTGACGGGCTCAGATTGGACCAGGCCAGGTTTAGGTTGGGGCGGGCTTGAATTACCCAAGATCTCAATGTAAGCCCAATCCAAATTTAGGTCAGGCCCAAATTTTCTGGCCTATGCCTAACCCACAATCCTAAAACTCAGGTCCAATACGTGCAAAAACTTGGGTTGGAGGCACAAAGTTGCACCCCTACAATGGTGTTTTAGATTAAAGGGCTACACAACGGGATAGCCCATCCCCCAACCTAGGTGCAGGTAGGACGGCACAAAGTTGCACCCCTACTAATGGTATTTTAGATTAAAGGGCTACACAACGGGATAGCCCACCCCCCAACCTTGGTGCAGGCAGGACTCGACCCTAAGTCTCCGACACAGCCAGCATGACACCTAGGGGTGATCATTTCAGCCCAGCCCAGCCCGGCCTGGAAATTTCGGGCTTGGGCCTGGGTTTTGTGTTCAAGCCCAGCTTGGGCCCGGGCCCAACTTAGGCCTGCAAATTTTAGGGCCGGGCTTGGACTTAATACTTCAAGCCCAGCCCGCATATATTTAAAATTATGCATTTTGTATATAATGTATACATGTTATTTTGCATTATATTATATATTTTATATGTAAATATTATACCATGACATGTATAATTTATATTATATGTAATATTTTATATTATATAATGTATAAAATAAGTTTATATGCATGTTATGTCATTTAATATATAGATATATAATATTTTATATTATATAATGTATAAAATAAGTTTATATGCATGTTATGTCATTTAATATAAAATATTATAGATATATAATGTTTTATATATGAAAGATATTGGCCCAAAATCAGGCCCGACCCAACCCGGGCCCGTATAAACCTGGCCTAGGGCTTATATTTCAGACCCAAAACCCCAAACCGGGCCCGGGCCTAAGCTATAACCCTTATTATAAGTGCAAAGCCCGACCCGACTCGGCCCATAATCACCCCTAATGAGACATTACCAACCAACCAGTCTCCAACACAACTGGCACCTTGCAAGGTTTCTAGCTTTTGAAAAGTGAGGGTATCACTAATATGTATGTACGTTGAAATCATGAAGAGAAATGTGTGGAATGGTAACGGCTGGTGAATAGACGATAAGTTGATGCCTTGACCAGGTAAAACTTAAAAGCCGTTGGATTGTGACTTATGAACATAGTTCCTGAAAAGTCACAAGAGCCAAAAATAACTGGGAAAATTCTTTAATAGTACCTTAAACTTTGGGGGTTGTATTAACTGAGTACCCAAATTTTAAAATGTGTCTGTGTAGTGTTTTGAACTTTAAAATTGTGTTTAATAGGTTCTTATTGTTAGTTGACTATTATTCAACACTATCACGTGACATCAGGTAAGGATTAAATAATTTTAAAATGACAAAATTACCCTTTATAATATTTTTTTTCTTACCATTTTACTCATTTTATCTAAGTGTTAAAAGAAGGAAGAGTTATGAATCCAGACAAGTGATCATCCGATTACAATTGATCGTTGAATGAGGGAGGTAGAACAAGGGAGTGGGATTTTCAATAATTGATAATGTCTGGTTTTTATAACTCTTCTTCCCCTTTCCTTCTTCTAATACCCAAACAAAATGGGTAAAATAATTAGAAAAATATCATAAAATGTAATTTTGCCATTTTGAAATTATTTAATGCACACATGATGCCACATGATGTATTGATTAATGGTCAACTAATAGGTAGGGTGAGCATTCAATTTATTTGGTTAAAAACCGAACCAAATAAATCAAATTTATAAAATATAAAATCGAACCGAAACTAAATTTTTTGGTTCGATTTTCGGTTAAAACCAAATTTTATTAATATTATACTAATACATATTATATATTATATATATTAACATATTTATGTATATTATAATATATGCATATTATATATAATATATATCATATACATATTATAAAATTTTTATGTTTTACATATTAATAATATATATTATATTATGTATATAATAAATTTCAATTAATTCGGTTTTTTTAGTTAATCGAATTTCTAATCATGAAAACCGAAACTGAAACTGAAATCTTTAAAACCGAATTAATCGAACCAAATAAACCGAAATCAAAAAATTTGGTTTGGTTTTTTCGATTTTAACAGAACAATACTCATTACTCATTCCTATTAATAGGGACCTATTAGATGCAATTTGAAAATTAAGGTTACTACAGAGACCTTTGAAGTTTGGAGATCGGCTCGATACATCCCAAAATTTAGGGTATTGTTAAGGAATTTTTTCAAAATAAATAGATAAAAAAAAGAAGAAGGGTAAATTACAAAGACCCCCTATACTTTGTTTTGCGACAAAGACCCCCCTGTACTATGACCGTGAGACAAAGATCCCCTTCCGTTAGAAATCTGTCATTGCAATATTTTTTAAAGGCAATTGAGAGAAATATGAAGGAATCCGAGGTAAAAGGGATTACCATAACTGCTGTTCGTGTATCGTGAAGTTAGAGAAGATGAACGTATTTTTCTCGGGGGGGCTTTGTCTCACGCTCATAGTTTATGGGGGTCTTTATCGCAAAACAAAATACAGGGTCTTTGTCACAGACCTATAAGGGGTCTTTGTAATTTACCCAAAGAAAAAAAACTGGTTAACAGACTGACGACTAGATCCCACTAAACTTGAAGTATATAGTAAGTACCAAATCACAAGCTATGGCTACGGGGCTTGCAAGTTTTGTGTGTAAAAGAGGAGCTTCATGCATCATCGGACGATTCGGAACTCTCGCAGACTTGAGCCCTAAAAGAAGTCTGAAAACCCTAGGCCAAACCTCGTAATTTTCTCTAGAATGGACGAAAGCATTCCTATCCAACAGAATTCCAGTTCCTCTGATGGCGGAGTGTCCATTGCTAGGGCTTCGATAACGTCCAACGGAGGAGATGATCGCATGGTTCACTTCGCACTGTCTCGGTTGAGTGCTCTCAAGATCCAGAAAGGAGATATCACTCGGTGGTTCGTCGATGGTACTTCCGACGCGATTGTGAGCAACTATTTTCTTTTGACTGACCAACTTTTATTTTCCTTTGTTCATATGTTGTATTTTCAGTCCTACCAGTCGTTGTCCTTATCTTCTGTTTCTCAGAACTAGGATAGGATGTACTTGAGGTCAAGAGTTTGTTTCCGACTTCTGTTCTAGGTTATGCGTTGCCTATTTCTGTAGGGAAAAGGTAAAATATAAATCCAATGGGCTTCAGGTCCCCTACTTTGGCCGTAGTGCAGTGGACACTTGCATTTTCCTCAACCCCTCCCTAACCTATAATAATTAACTATTATATACTATTTGTCAGGGTCTGCATCCTGCCTTAGTACTATGGAGTTTTACGGACCTCTTGAGGATGTCTAAATGAATCCTGGACGTGGTTGAACTTGACATCCTGAGTCTGAGGTCTCATTGCTCTGCTCCCATAATTGTTTTGCGTTACCGTATTTTTAGAGGCCAGTCCATGCCTTGGATCAAGAACGAACTGAAGATTTTACCTCTTGGATGAACCTAACCGTATGGTTGAAATAGAAAATCACATTGGCGACAGCTAAAAATCAAGTGCGATGAATGTATTCATGATTTTTTATCTTTGAGTGAAACATAATTCAGGAAGTGAGCGCACAATATTTCCAGTTTTTAGTTATGACTGTCATGCGTATGTGTTTCGATTCGAAATTACCATTTTTTTTTTATCAATTTGTTGTTTCCCGGGCATAACCAGAAAATGCTCCTGGTGAGGCTAAAATAACTGCATAACTTGCCACCTCCTTGACTTGTATTATATCAGATGAAATAAATGAATGATTGAACGGCTGTTTTATAAAAAAACCTTAGTATAGTTTGAATGGATTATGGATGAAAATTATTACCAGTATATGGACGACATGGTTACCCAACGTCTGGGATTCATCAATGCAGTGGTGTTCTTACATCCCAAAGGTCTAGTATGAAGGACATTTTCCTTTGTTGTATTATTTTCAGTTATTTTATTTGTTCTGTTGGTAAGTGTGTGACAAAAATCTGCGATGAGAATACATTTTATATTACTTGTTCAAAGATTTTGTGCAACTATTCCTTTCATATGCCTTCTAATAAGAATTTTTTTTTTTATAGGACTTCTATTAAGATTATATCGATCAAGTTTGCATTGCCAGTTTTGGATTTTTGAGGTTCACCATGCTCGAAACCTCATATTTGTTTGATAATAGCTGATATTTGCAGTATTCACATTGAATTGCTGGTGTGAAAATCATGCCAACAATTCTAATTACTGAGACCTAAGATCTCTATAATCTTACAATTTGTCTAGCTAAAACTGAATCTGATCGTTGCAATCGTCCATCACTGAAGATGGAATCTGCAGTGAAGATTGTGTTATAGCTTCATTTGATGATTTTTAAATTTCTCCTTCTTGAACAGAACAAGCTGTGGTTTCACGATGATCCTCTTTTAACAGGTAAATGCAGCCAATGAGCGAATGCTTGGGGGTGGTGGAGTAGATGGAGGTAAGTATTCATGCTTTTTATTTTTTTACTAAAATTTTTATCACATGTACCTGCCATCATGTCGAAATTTTTTTATGTTAGCCATACATAGAGCTGCTGGGCCTGAACTGCGAGCAGCATGCTACAATGTCCCCGAGGTCCGACCTGGAGTTCGTTGTCCTACAGGAGAAGCAAGGATTACCCCGTAGGCATTAATCTTATTGATGTCTGATATATAGTTAACATCCTCCAATTTTACACAATATAATTATCATTCTTGAGTTGTAACAGTGTTGAAAATATACAGAGCTTTTAAACTGCCTATATCTCATGTAATTCACACTGTTGGACCCATCTATTATGTGGATGATCACCTAGAAGTTTCTCTAAGAAGTGCCTACAGGTACACCACCACTGCTGCTATCATCATCATTTTTATTGCAATTACTAGAATCATAATGGTTTTTGTACCTTTGGTAACAGGAGTTGCTTAAGGCTCGCCAAAGTGAACAACATCCAGTATATTGCTTTTCCTGCCATATCCTGTGGTGTTTATGGGTATGCTTTTGTGACAAGGAAGTGATCATGGTTTTGTTGAGATCAATCATAAGCTAACTTACTTTAAGAACTTACATGGATGAAAAACCTTAAAGTCAGATTTTGGCATTGCCCAAGTCTGATTACTTGAGTGAATCTCATACAAGTCATTCAATTAGTTATGTATGAAGAAGTAATTGGCATCTTTAAATAAAATAAGTGCACTGTAGTGATGCTTGTCTTGAACTTGAACTAACTGAAATGACACATTCATATTGACTGGGTCTGGTGTAGCTTGTGGCCTTGTGATAATAGATGCATATCCATTTGACACTTATTATACTCATTTCCATTTTATACCATGCTTTCTCAGTTATCCTTATGAAGAAGCTGCTACAATAGCTATATCTACTGTTAAGGAATTTGCGGATGATTTCAAGGAGGTATTATCACCTTTTTGCTTATGTTTCATGTTATAGACTACATTGATGGTTGATTTTAGAAATTACATGTGAGTAGGCTAGTCTTGTATTATATGGAGGATAAAGATTGTTCATTTATTACAATAACAGATACATTGTTGAGGCATTATCGAAGGCATTTACACTAAAATCTTTGTCCTACAGGTGCATTTTGTTCTGTTCTCAGATGATATAAATAACGTTTGGCTGGACAAGGCAAACCAATTGCTCTAAATTCGGTATGTGTGATAAGTCCTAGCAATTCCTCATATCAATGATTCTGTTTGTTAGTCAATAGATGGATTCAAACTTCTAGAGAATACCCTAAGTTTGATTCAGTCTTATAATGGTTATTACATATTGTCGGTGTTAAGTATCATGAACCATAGAAAAGAACTAATCAATATAACATTGAGGATGCCTTAACAGAATTTTACGCAAAATAAATGCTGGTGGCAATGGGATTTGATCCCAAGTCTCCAATACAATTAGCCAGAGAGCTCACCAATTGAACCACCTACACTTGGTCGTGTCGGCATGCGGGCTGCGGGCAGCACAGCCCGATTTACACCTTTACTTAAAACTGTCTATAAAAATTACAAATAGGAGGATTTGAACCCTAGTGAATAGCATGTAACCAGCACAAATCTACCATTAGGCTATTCTATATTTGCTTTGTCATAAATATACACATTTTTATTCTTAGTAATTTATTTTATTCTCAAGGGATTTTTTGGCAATAAATCCTAAAATTGATTATTTAAAATTTATATACTAATAAATATTAACAAATTATATTGATTTATGAAAATTAAGATATATAAATATAAATTTTAGTTCTTGCATTATTCTTTAATGGCTACCAATTGTCCCAGTATCTCACAATTTATATAAACTCTTGAAGAGTAGTTTTTTACATTTAAATAACTCTTTTATAATTATATAAAATTTATATAAATTGTTATTAGAGTATCTTTTTTAAGATTTATTTGAATTTACTAGTGTATCCATGCATATCTTCATTTTTTTTTTTATATATCCATGCATTTCTAAAATATATCTCGATGCATATTTTAAAATGCTTTTACTGATATGTCTTTCGTTTTCAATACTTTGAGCCTTGCACAAGCCAATGCGTATCCTTTTTGGTTTGGGGGGCATGACAAGGCAGCCGATATGAATCAATGACTGATGGTATCAAAATACGATTTTACAATAAATATGTCTTTAAATTTGTGCTTATTAATTCATGACAATGGTTTTCTTTATGTACAAGCAATTTATATTAATTATTTTTAGTAGATTAAATTTTTATAAGCTTAAAACTTATAATGTGTTAATGTATATTTTGCATGCAAATTTTTATAAACTTAAAATTATATTTTGTCTCTGCATATTTGCTGTGGTTTATTTGAAAAGCCAAGAATTGATTTGTCTTCAATGGTATTATCAAGGTTCAAAGTATCGACATGTATCGGTTATACGTATCATATCGGGAGCACCCCTATACGCTCCTACAGAGGGTGTATCGGGGTTTTGACCGGTTCAGGGGTAGAGCCTTAAACTGGCCCCCTGAACCGGTTTTGAAAAAAAAATAAACAAAAACGGATCAATACTGCCCAATATGCCCCTACCAGCGTATCGGGCATATCGATATTTAGAACTTTGGGTATTGTGCCTGATTTTTTATTTACTCGGACAAGTGGATGAAGGAAGTGAGGAAAGTTTTCCTTTCTAAGCTGCATTCAGACGGAAAATTGTTTGGTAGCAGGCCTTTATTTAAAACTAACTCTGATGGCAGTTTCTCAAGCCAAGGTTTCAGTGGTTTTGGTTTTTGATCAAGGATGAGATTGTTTCTTTTTTATTGGAAAAATGTTGACCTTATAGGCAAAATCTGCAAAATATGTTGAAGTTATTGCTATTAAAAAAAGAGTTTAACTATATATGGAAAATATATGATATTCGAAAAATCTCTGACCAATCAATTGGAATCATAAACTTGATAGCGAATCAAGTGTTATTCAAAATTTATGGGTGGGTTTTGATTGGTCAAAAACTCTTTTCATACCATATCTTTTTCATATCATAGATTTTCCCTAAAATGCTGTTATTATGCTTTGGACCTTCGTATATCTAGGTTGTTAATTGAGTGCGACTTTAAGTGTGGTTAATGCTGTAAATTGCAAGCCCTTCGGTTGTTCTCCTGCTGTTTGGTCATTGTTATTTGATCTTTACAAGATTTCAAGGTTGGAGTTGAGACTGGTTTATGTAAGCCTATCCTTTAATTATGCAGAGCATGCTCTTGCAGCTATGGTTGCTGGCGGTCCTTTGGTAGGTCGGGAGGAACAGTCTCCGTAGTTTTTTTTCTGTTTTTTCTTTGTTTTTTTTTTTTTTCAGTTTGTTTTGTTCCCTGCTGTTCATTGTTTTCCCTTAATATATACTCTGATTAAAAAAACCATCCCTTTGTATCAAATGTACTGCCTATCTCGAAAATTTATTACGGGAAATACACTTTTCAACCTTGAGTGCAGGCAGGACAACAAATTTATTTTCTTGACTCTTGAGGCTGGTGACGTATAGATGACGAAAGAATCGTCTTTAATTAAGGGATTATAACTGATAAGGTAACTTTTGGTCCTAATATCAATAAAAGTAATACTGTTAATATAATATCTAAAATAGGTTATTTTTTTAAAAAATATCAAATAAAGGCAAAAATACCATTCGTCTTTTTCCTTTTACCAATCATTTATCAGTGTCTGCTGTTCACTGCTGTCTCCGGTAATGTCTCTACCTACTTCTGCCTCCACCCCAGCCGTGCGAATCTCTCTTTTTGTTGTGTGTCTATAGCTTTGTTCCTCTAATGGCTCTTGCCTCTGTTTCTCCTTCACCTTGATACATTGTTGGGTGCTATTTATTGAGTCTATACTTGACTCTGGTTTAAGGTCACGTAGCTACGTAGGTTCTACTGGTTGATTTGAAGAAACACCACAAGAATAACAATCAGAGTTGCCTGTAACCTGTTCGTTGGCAGTTGGATTCGTGAAAATACATACCCGATATACCAGCCCTTCAACTGTCCCATCATTGACCCTGAAGTCAACTGTCAAATGTACGATCGACAGGACACGATTACCAGAAGTGTCGTTGGAAGCCTCTCGATTGTGAGCTCCCCAGGTACGTAAATGTTTGTCTCCACCATCCCATTTCATTTTGATCATGCATGAGATAATTGAGACAATACCTCTTTAATTTCTAGGTTGTAGGTTCAATGCGCTTGATTTTCTGGTGAGGATGAGAGGGAAGACGGTGATGTTCGTGGGGGATTCGCTGGGGCGGAACCAATGGCAATCTCTGATTTGCATGATATCCACGGCGGTTCCACGGTTGCCGACCCAATTGGTGAAAGGACATCTTCTGTCCACGTTCAAGTTTATGGTAAGTTAAAGGACTGCTGCTGCTCTAGACGCGAGACATTCAAGCTTTCTCCTATTTTGTTTGCATTAGGCATTAGCGAGAGCTGGCGGAGCATCCAAACAAATCTTTAATTCAGCTCATATTTCTCGATGATAGGAATACGGAGTGTCTATCGTTCTACAGAGCTCCATATCTGGTGGACATAGATGTGTAGGGGAGGAGAATTCTGAAGCTAGAGGACATTTCTGGTAATGCGTATGCCTGGAGGGGTGCCGACATTTTGACCTTTAATTCCAAACATTGAACTCACAAGGGAGTCACCGGAGGTTGTCGGAGGCAGCAACGGCACTGATGAATGGTTTGCAAGAAGATGAATAATTTTTTTGCCCTTATTTGATTTTTTTTTAAAAGTTAACTTATTTTAAAAATTATAATAAACATATTACTTTTATTAATATTAAAGCTTAAAAGTTGCCCATATCAACTATAATCTCTTTAATTAAGGGGCTTTTACTATTTTACTATTCAGTCCACCCCACAAATCTTAGATCCACCGTGCCAGCTTGGAATTGATGCCAATACACTGCAAAAATAATGCAAATGAAAATACTAACTGAACCACCTGGTAGCGTGCCATGCACAGGAATGTTCTAGGCTAGTTTTTCAAAATCCCCATGCCCCCTACCCTGATTACCAAAAACCAAAATCCCCATCCCAAGTCTCCGCTACAAACAAATGTCCATATATCCCAACTGAGCCACCTGGTAAGGTGACCTTGAGTCATACACAGATACTACAACCAAAAGCCAAATTTCCCTTCCTCGTTGATTACTATTCATACGCTACAGGAGATTGGCGTTCCATTATCAACCATCAGCAGAAAGTGATGTGAAATTCAAAATTTTAATGTTCAGTGACTTCAATCTCTCACAACACCCTCCAATATACAGCTAGATTGTTAAAAGCTCTAACCCTTTTCACTTCGTTATATCATTTCATGAAGCCAATTTCAGTCCATATAACCAGAGGAGATCCCTCATCATTGAGACCGGTATCACCCATTCCATGACACAATTTGCATCCCGGGTGGTGAGATGACCAAAACTCACCAAAGATAAGATCCAACATTCCAGTCAATTCAGTCCATCAAGCCCACCCCCTTGGACTTGGAGCATACCAACTCTGCCAATAAAAGCCAGTACTACTTCAGGATATCAGACAAATGTCTTTGCAGTAACTCAGTAATTCAACAATGAGTATTTCACTCTAAGAACTATCTTCCCTTTCTCCACTCCAAGTTTTCCACCAGTCACCAACCAATGACCTGGGGAATCCTGTGGCCCCTTGCTCATCTCCGTCATATCAACAAACTTGGCTAGTTTGTTGCCTGTGACATCTTTTGCACTAGAACCGGAGTCGCTAGAGCTGGATGTACTTCCTATAGCTGGATCCTTCAACCTGTCTTTCATACTTACAGGAGAATGGTCCCACAAAGACCTCCGTGTTGTGCAGCCTGGTAGTCTAGAATACAAAAGCTTCATGTATAACACATTTCTTGTCCCAAAATCCCATACTCCAAGCTGTGCACCAGTCACTATGTATACACCAGAATGGTCATCTATGAAAGTCTCATTATTCTCGATTGGAGAAGTGCTAACATGAGAGAAGTTCTTCCATTTCACTGGCTCAAACCATCGACTATCTTGCTCCTCAGGTCCCTGCCACTTGGATGCACCAATAGCCACATGGCTGTCCCAGTATGGCTGGAGGATCTTTGGAAGGGAAGCTAAGTGCTGAAGCTGAATACTGAGGCGGTTCTGTTTAGCACCTTCTAGGCGTAATCTCAAACCTGTTACAGGCTTACGTCCAACTGATACCTGCATTTTCCAGACATCACAATAATAAGAAATGAAGGGTTCACCTATATCCAAAAATATGTTTGTATACAGACAGGAAGATAAAAGACAAAGCCCGTCAGCAAATGGCATACGAGATCAGGCATCATGAGCCAAGATCTAATTTGCCAAAGACAAGTATCTCAGTGAAAAATCAACTTTCTCCAAAGAGCGAAATAATCCAACCGATTTATGCCAAGTTGCCAACAATATTTTTCTGGACATATAAGAATGTCATAGAAATCGCCACCTATCCTGTTAGGTGGTGATTCTAATACCTAGTCCATTTTTAGCCAACATCTTTTATGTGGGACCACTATCAATTGATGGGCCCCGACAGTATGTTACTCGTGTAAATGGGGCAAAAAGATGGAAAATTTTCACCGTGTCTCTTTACATGTTATTTCATTGGCACTTTAGCAGTGATCCCCTGCAGTACCAATGAAGAAGCTAGAGCTTCTGTAGGGTTTTTTTCAAATTAAACTTTCCATATGAACATACATGCTCTTGGCTAACATAAAGCTTCTGCCCCATCATGCTAAACTGCATGGAAGGACAAACTGGTTCCTTTCTCTGGTGGCCTGGAAGCTTGTCCTGCACTGGTGCCCATATCCTAGGGATCTGAAATTCTAGGAAATATCGCAGCTCTTCAATTGGAGGCTTGTCTGTTGAACATTGTTGAAAATAAATAAATAAATAAATAGAAAAATAAAAAAAAAAACAAGAAATCGGATCTTGTTTTAGTTTAAGGAAATTTTTTTTGAAGCATAAACAGCAAAGACATAATGATAACTCTTTAAAAAATGTATGAGAAATGTGTCCTGTGATTTTAGGTTTCTTACATTCAAGGTAGAGGCTAATGGCACGGGTCAGATGGTCCTTTCCAGGTACCCCTTCAAGGAGAGAGGTAATAGGGAAGAAAGTCATATCAATGACATCCGGAGAGGCATGGACAGTTCTTGCCCATAAGGTGTGACGTTGGATTAGATCATCCCCTCCTCTCCGCCTGAAGATGACTATAACATCCTGCATCAAAAAATTTCCCATACAATTCTAAGCCCCAAAGTTTCATGACCACCTAAGTTGCAGCAATCAAGAAAAAACATGTAAACATAATTGCTTAACCAAAATATTATCACTTGGACAATGTGCATACAAAAATCACTGTCCACAGATTCATCATTTGGCATCAGAGTACTATTGACATTGTGGCTGAGAAATCAAATCACAGTACAGCATCCATCAGATGAAAAGGAAAATGACTGTAAATAGATAAACACCATTAGGAGGACCCATAACCTCAAAGCCTACAATTATTAAACAACAATTCTTAATGTCTATCAAATTCAGTTTTGCCTAAGCATGAGCAGAGAGATGCTTATATATTTGTTAGCCAACCCAAAAGAAGGCTCCAGATCCAAATGATGATGATCAAGAATGATGACAATGTATGCTTATATAAATGTGGCATCAGCAGGAAATAACACACACCTCTCCGAGGCATGTCAATGGTGATTATGGTTGCTACATTTGGTTAACGAACCATGGGCCTTTTTTCCGAACCAAACCGGTCTTTTGGTTTTTGGAAAACCACAATCCGAAACCAAAGCGAAACCAATCAGTTAGCTGGTTGACTGGGTTAGTTCTTCAGTTTTTTGTTTTATAATATATTATTAATATATATAAAGCATATATTTATATATAATGTATGTATATGTGAAAAATATATAAAATATATATAACTATATATACCAGCCAGTTCAGTCAACCGCCTGTTTTTCATATTGGTTAACCCAAACTGAACTGGTACCTTTGGTTTTTCCAAAACACCGAACCAACAGGTTCAGTTAACCAGATTTTTCAGTTTAGTTCAGTTTTTTGGTTTTTGATGAGCACCCTAATGGTGGTTACTACAGGCTTATGGGGATTTTTTTTTGAAGAGTTATGCCTATGTGTCTGACAAATATTGGTATGTTAACCATATTTCTATCTAAAAGTGTCCAGTTTCCTAATGGTGAAAATAAATATCAAGCAACAAGAATTCCGGGCATCTAAAACAAAAGGTTGATCATTCCCATTCAATCAGGATCCTTTTGCTGTAGAAAACTCTCGTCACTTCTTGCTGTGATGAAGATGAGCCTATGTCGACAAACCACTCAACCACTCTGCACTCTGAAACTAGTCCTTCGGTTAAGAATTTAGCTCAGCCCAATAACTTGGAATTGAACTGAAACAGTAATAAGGAAGGTTTTCAAGAAGGGAAATTCTATGATATCGAAAAGACATGGTACCGGAAGAGCTTTGACCAACCAAAGCACCCCGTAAATTTTAATGAACACCACCCGATTGGTCACCTCTTTTATGATACCGGTTGTTTGGCTATAAGTTTTTCTGCTATCATGTCTTTCAGGTATCATAGTCGAACCCTTTCAAGTAAAAGGACAAAAGGAAAGAAGATGGAGAAAAGGACATTTTTTTTTCTAATCAGATCAAGCAAGATAACTCCCTAGACAAACCCACCCAGGTCATGTGACTGATCCGGAATACAGGTAGGGGTGCAAGTTGGGTAGACTGGGCTGGGTTTTAGCTCAACCCAGGCCCAAAACTAAGAAATGGGCCTAAGGCCCAAGCCCGAGGTCAAGCCCAAAATATCCAACCCGAGCCCAATGCACACTAAAATTTGATCCACTCAGGTTGGTCTCAGATTGGTCAATCAACCCATGCTAAAATTGATAAACATGTATTTGTATATGCATGCATATATGTATTTGTATATGCATTCATATCCAGTTTGAGTCTAAGTATAAGCCATTTCATGCTCAAATTTTGGGCAACAATGATATCCCACCTTATCTGAAGTGTTCTCAAGAGTTAAGAGGGTTACCAAGCACAGAATGAGAACACTTCCATGTCTGAGAGGTCTGCCTAGGCTGAGTCTAGAGGGACTGGTAGAGGTGTTGGTGTTAGGGGGGGTTGTTCATGGACCCAGAGGTGATTGTGGTGGTGTTAGAGATAGAGGTAGTATAGATGGTGGTGGTGGTGGTGGTAGAGATCTTGCCAGACATGCTATTATATGTGAATGCAGTCATTGTGGGTGTGAGGGCCATACAATTAACTGAAAATCAAATGCTACTGCACAAGGTGCCAACCAGCGGGTTGGTAAGGTCTCCTGCTGGCTGTAGCAGAGACTTGGGATCGAATCCCTTTCACCTAGGTTGGGGGAATGGGCTACTCCAGTTGTGTAGCCCTTCAAAAGAAATCAAAAAAAAAAATCAAATGCTACTGCAATTGCATTGACTTCAAAATTTGAAGTTTCAATGGGACCTATCCAAAGAATTCAAGCCAGCTTAATCCCAATGTTGACTGGCAAAGTTAAAGAGGAGATTTATGGGCAGTTTGATAAATACCATGTACCCAAATTATAGCATTTCTTTGTCCACACCTCTTGCTGTATGGCATTTTTTTTTCTGATCAATTCCTTTCATGGAAAAATTATGTCAAATGGCTTTAATACAATTGATAGTTAAAGGGGAAAATGAAAGAAAATGAGAATAAGTCTGAAATAAATTGCAAGTTTTCAATATTCCCACTTGACCATGATAGTTAATTTTATCAACATAGAAGAGCTCAGGGTAGACAAAAAAGGACATGGGTAGTACCATAGTAGTAGTAAGAAATGATTTAAACACTAATAATTTAATAGTGAATATGGCTTTAAATAGAATGGATTGGTGAAACAGGATTCATGTAACAGCCAATCCCATATATTTGGGGTAAGGCATGGATAATGATGACGGTGATAAGTCATGCCAAGCATCTGTGAAGAAATAATATGTCATACAAGCAAAAGAGAATCTGAAAGAAAAATATACATACTTCTTTTCCAGCAAGATAAGGAGAAGTAAGAGGTTGAGGGTATACTCCTTGGTTGTTGAATAAACAAGGATCCACAGCCTGCCAATCAATGGAAAGAAAAAGTACAAAAATTAAGAAGATATGCAACAGATGACTATAATAAGCATTGCAGCAAAAAAGTCCATACAAATAAAGAAACAAAATTGAGGCGCTAACCTTGTCCTTCAATTTTATTGGACCTGAACACGTACGGCTTTGTGTGTCATAGAACCTCTGATCTCCAATGTCCTGAACATAGTTTTTTATCTCCATAGTTGATAAAGGTGATGAATGGTGCTGCTTCACGTAAATTACATCCTTGCCACCAATAGTTATGGATGTAATGACATGTGTTCCAAAGTTTTCTATAAATCTGGCTCGCAATTTTAATAAAAATGATTAAGATATAAATGGAATTTATCTAAAAACAAAGTTGGCTTGAGAGCAGCGTTTACACCTTTATACCTTGCCAAGGATGAAGGATCCCATGAAGATGGGATTGCCTGTTTAACATTTTCTTGCAACACTAGCTGGGACTTTTTGAGCTGAACTTTGCAAAGTGGGATAAAATAGCCATCCATGGCAAGGCTCTTTGTACCCGCAGCATCGATTTGTTTTGAACCAGTAAAGTTAAATACAAAATTAAAGCTTCCAAGAGAAATGCTTCCCTGTAGATGGGCCCTTCTATTAAAATTCTCCACCATCTGCACCCATTTATTAAGAAAACAATATCACTTCCCAATGGACAAGCAGGTTATGAGTTATGACACAGCCATCTTTATTCGAAGAAGGTAAAGTATAACTGTATTAGATATCAAAAAGTGTGTACGGAAAATGACAGCCTAAATATCAATTCCCAATTACATAATCAAAGTTATGATTGCATTCTGAATTTTAGGTTGCAGACTTGGAGCCAAGGAACTCATCTACCAACCATCAACTCTCATTCATTTTTGTGAGACACTTCTAGTTATTATATATCTACCATTAACTCATACTCCATACAGAGCAATTGCACCAGAAGTAATACTAACACTTCTAGCTACAAATAACTTGAAATTATTGATATCATTATAACCAATGTATTATTGAGTTCCTAGTTTCCACAACCAAAACCATTAAAGAATAAACTTCTGAACTATAGTTTCAATGATTCTATGTTCTTGGAACAAACTCTGTATTGTCAAAAATAGGCCCTTCCCTCTTGATTTTATGGCTTTTGCAGTTAAACTTCTTCTCTTTTCTTTTATTCTTTTGTGCAAAAGACAAATTTTATATAACCATATCAATCAACAAACATATATAACACATGTACAGTAACTAGCCTATGGCCATAGATTGGGACCAGAATTGGAACCCAAAAAAAACCAAAGTTGAAATTTATCTTCTTTATGCAAAAGGAGAAGCAGTGCTTTAAAAGCGCAAGGCACAAAAAAGGTGCAGGGGACAATTTGTGCCCGAGGCGCAAGGCGCAAAAATTTTAAAAAAAATCTAAAAAATAAAAAAAAGTCAAATAAATAAAAAAAATAAAAAATACAAAAGAATAAAAAATACTAAACATAATATTAATAAAAATATAAACATAAATTTTAAAATAAATGTTTTAAAAAAACTATTATCTAAAATTAAAATACATAAACATAACATGTAAAGCATATTCAAATGAGAATTTAAAAATAAAATCAAACAAATAAAACATTTCAACTTTCAAGCATGTAAAACCCACAATCTTTTTTTCCTCAATTGCATTACTTCAAGTAGCTAATGTGATGTAAAACATATTCCTGATTCTACGAGCCGCTTTTGTGCCACGCCCCTCGAGGCAAGCCAAACAAGTCCATGTTAGGGTCTTAACTTCTTAATTCTCATTTCTCATATAAAAAATAATGATTTCATAATTTTAATTACTTTTTAAGAAGATATTTTATTAGAACGAATGAATGAACAACATTACCAAAAAGAGGGTTCTCGGAAAATTTAAGACCTTAACATTGACTTGTTTGGGCTTGCCTCAAGGGGCGTGGCATGAGGGTATGGGGGCGGAGCCCCCGACCAAGCCGCTAGGTTCAAAAAAAGCAAAAAAGTGCCAAATTTTCAAAAGGCACACACTTGGGTTGAGGCGCAAGGCGCATCAAGCACACGCCTAGGCGCACCAGGCATACACCTTTTGAAAGGGCTGCGCCTAGGACCTGGGCAAAGCGCCTACCCTAAAATGCGCCTCGCCTATTCACCTAGACACGCCTTTTAAATCACTGAGGATAAGCATATAAAAGTACCAATGATGTGGGGAAAATTTTAATCAGGAAGATGTGCAAGAGAGTTTCCAAGGGTCAGACAAGGAACTGCCAAAAGAACTAGCACTAGCCTTGGAGTGGCCAGTTCATCAAACGGCTATAGAAGCGAGGAGTTTTCACAGTTTGGCCAATTTTTATCTCAGTCTGATCAATTTCAATTTGTAAGGGCCAGATTGACATTGTATTAAGGAGTCCCATTTCAAATGGACAGAGGTGGCACAGAAATTATCTGATGCCTTGAAGAAGATTTTATTTTATTTTGGTCAAGGCGCCAGTTCTAGTTCAAATTTGGAAAAGCTCTTTCAGGTAGAGATGGAAGTACCAGGTTTGGTGATCGGTGCTGAAGTCACCAAAAAAAAAAAAGTTCTATCACCTAATTAAATTTGCATATGGCTATTCCAGAAAACAAAAATGCATATCTCAACCTTAGAGGACGACGCAAGACAAACTTCAAGTATTCCATGTGGTAGAACCCCACTCTCCTAACCATATTCCAGAGAAAATTATGACAAAAGAAAGGCAAAAAAAAAAAAAAAGACAAGCTATGGCTGTGTTTGGTTGCAGTGCAATTTTATTTGCATTAGTACAAATGCACAGAAGTGCAAATGAAAACAATGCAAATTCTCGTTTAATTTTGCTTTGTGTTTTACTTTATTCTACTTCATGTCTTAATTTACTTCATTTGTACAGCAATCAAACAAAATAAGCTAAAATTTGAAACAAAAACAGGTCAGAATCTACACTCAAATCATTTGCGCTGCCATAGTTTTGTATCAGTGCAAATTTATTTGCATTGCAACCAAACACAGCCTAAGCGACAAAAACTCCTAGATTTAGCAATATGATATCAAGGCTCACACCATCCCAGTAACGAAAAAGATGGCTTTACTGTCTTGGAGATGATATAACCAAGTGACAACAGTTGCCTTAGATACAAGCCAGAAAATGGAGAATCAAAAAGGTAGCAAGCTCCTAAAATTAGCAACAAACATTTTTTTTACATGAGTTTTGAATTTGTTAGCTAGAGAATCCTAGGACTATTGAAGCAATGATTGTGTGGTGAAATAGGCATATTTGGTCGTCACATGCATCACGCCATTCTGTATATCTGACGTGCCAAGCTAACTAGTAGTTTCCATTGGTTAAAACAAATCCGTTCTTTTTCTTCTAGTAAGCAGAAATCTTTTGTTCAAGTTTGTCACTCCCAACAACTGCGTGGAACCAGTCCACTTTGTTGGACGACAACTCCATACAATACAACACAATGATCGAAAATCCAAAAGTCAAACTCACCTTAAAAGTCCCCGTAAATCAGATCAAGAAAACGTTGTGAATCAAGGAAAGGGAAATAGGAATGTGATGGCAGTAAAAAGTTAAGAGGTAAGATAGATGCAATCGAGAAAGAACAAAAAGATTTATTAAAAAGTTTAAAAAAAAAATTATCACATACCTCATAGAAACTGCAAATGGCCGTACTCCTACGCCCAATTGTCTCTTGAGAACTGTTGATGTCCCTGGAAACATTGGGCACAACTACACCTTCATAGACCAACAGATCTCTCGTGTGATCTTCATCGACCTCAACTATCCTAGATCCTGCAACTCCTTTGCAGTAAAGCAACCTCGTGTCAAAGTTCACATCGAAACCCCTGCCTAAAGCCTGTATCGAATTCAAAACCGTGTGTAAAGCTGCTGCATTTTCCTCCATCCTCATCACCTCAGAACCCAAAACCGTATGAAACGGCAGAGAGAGATGAAACAAAAGGAGACAGCGTAACGGAAAATCTTTAAACCCTTGAATCAATTCTCCATCTAAAGCAAAAGACAGGTTGCCATAAATCCAAACCCAGGAACCAAAACCCCATTTAGATTCCTGGAAAAAGAGAACCTCGGAGGTAAGAGCTCATCAAGTTCGTTATTTTTTCCTAAAATTTGGATACTTAGTCTTCACGAAGCAAACCCAAATCAGAAAATTACTCCCCCCAGTCCCCTATAGGGTAATTTGAAAGAAAACAAAGACCAAAAAAACGATTAAATTAGATCTCGTCTCTCTTTTTCTCCGTTATTGAACTTGGAAACTTCTTCCTCTCACCGGGTTCAGGCTAGAGAAAATCCAGAAAAAAAAGGGGGAAGATTCAACCACGCAAAAGAAGAAAAGATTCAAAATCGTCTACTTTCCATCGCTTCGCTCCCTGTTCTGACTTGGGAATTTGAAATCTTTACTTCCAACCTTTTATCTTCTCTCGCCCCATCCCCGCGACCCACTCGGTATCTCCTGCGATCTCTCTCTCTCTCACTCACTGCTGTCTAGCTACCAGCCTACCACAGTACCACTTTCCCTCCCCAGTCCCCACGAGTTCGGCTTCCGCGAGGGCAACGCCCGTTCGAGTAGCTTTTAGAGCCTTGCATTGGGAATATCTTACTACTCATGTGCTGTATTTTATGGAGAGATATTCTCGATGTAAGGTTGAAAAAGGTTATTGGGACGGTACAAACACGGACTTGCCCTGACGGAAGCCGATTTCAGTCTCCACACGCACACACACTCTCTCTTACGAGTCTTTTACAATGCGCGTGTCCAATCCCAAACTACTAAGAAAAGAAGCATTGACTCTTGTTATGGGCGGTCTTTTTCCACCGAGAAAATTGATGGCAATGGGATACCGTTCCAATTGGAGCACCTGGTGGCTCTGGCTCTACCTTTTCCTTGTGTCTATATGTCTCTCTATGTGACGGTAATTTACGATACCCAAAAAAAGAATCGTAACCAATGAACGAACACCGGCACCATAGAAATGGAAACCAATTGATGTATTTATCAAAATTCACGGGGGATAGAGAAAGTCATTACCTACGATTACGAACTTTTCTCGTTCATATTTACCGACAAACCAAACACAGCATTTAAGTTTAACGGAAGCTTACATTTGGAGAAGTCTAATCGGCAGCTTGAGGTGTCAAATGTGAATAGCTAAAGACGCAAAGAAGTATATATTTGGGCATCGATGCTGCAGATACAGCACTGTTTTCTCGTTGAGATTAAGTCTCCGCCTCACAGCACATTCTCGCCGTATATTGGAAACATTTCCCGATAATAGTACCAGAATTGATGATATCATCATCGGGAGATGTTCCAAATATATGGTGGGGATGTTCTGTGGGGGCGGCCCCTTGTGGGGTGGAGATGCCCACTCTTTCTCATTTAACGTCTATTTGGCATCATTGTCATTGCTCCAGAAAATGGCACCACATCAGTGTTAAATTAGAAAAAACGATGCTTCAAGGCATGGCTTGGAGCAATGCCAAATTTGGGGTTTCCTAAAGCTGCAGCTCGATACTGCTGATGTGCGGGTTGGAAGCATTATTTTTTGAAAAAATGGTGTCTTTTTTTATGTTTGGAAATGTCATTGTCATGTAGGATGTTTTATGGAGCAACAACAATACATTTTGTTTGGTACCAGTGCTCCATGTCTGTTTTCAGCATTGATACCCATTATAGGATGTTCACATCACGTTCTCATTGGCAGCAACAAGCTACAATATGAGAAAACGCTAAATTCAGCGTTGCTCTAAACCACACATTTTCGATTTCCAAGGCATGGCTTGGAGCACCATTTTTTATGGAAAAACTATTTCAAACAAACAAGCATTTTCTATAGCATTGTTTTTTTTTCCGATGTGGCACTGATGTGTCATTGTTTTTTGAAGCAACGACATCAATGCCAAACAGACGCTTAGTATTTAGTATGTACACTTAATGATGTTCGTGTTCATCACTCAATTGGCTTCAACTTCCGAGGCTGGGCCTGGGTAGACTGGTTTGGGCTTAGTGTCCAATATCCATAATGATAGCAAACCCCTTGCTCTTTCCTCTTGGTTCAACGTCTACATGTGTCATTTTCATTTGGGAAAAATACTTGAAATTCCCCTCTGTCACGATTATGATCTCATTACCTCTCTCTTAGCATGTGTTTAGTTATCTGGGTGTTTATTGAGGGAGTATTTATCAGATAAATGTTTATCTGAAAAACGTTGCTTTAAATATTTTTTGTTTTTTTTTCTTATTTGGTCGGGCATTTGAAGTAATATCCCATAAAATTGTTTTCCACCTCAATTTAAAAGTGTGTCACATTAGCATTTCATTTTAAGAAATGTGCAGGCATTGAAAAAAACAAGAATTTGACATTTACTCAAATGTCCCATGCACATAACTCAAAGCATTCAGTTTTTAGTGTTTATTTGATAAACAATGAAACCAAACAGTGGTTTCAAATGTAATAAACGCCAATGCCTATGTGACGTTGATGTTGCGGTGTTTTTCCAATAAACTCCCATCAAACCAAACATAGCATTAGTATGTGTTTGTTTTCGTAGGCATCTATAAACGCCAATGCCTATGTGGTCTTGATGTGGTGGCATTTTTTCCAATAAAGACCCATGGAAACTAAATGTAATCATCATTTGCAATGTGACATCATTTGTAATTTACATTATTTCAAAAATCTAGTTTTACCCTTTTCTAGTTCTAAGTTTTTATGGCCTCAAATCTGCTACCCATAAGTCGTTTCCGCATCTCTACCCACAAAACATTACAATCGCGCATTAGGAATATCTCCCATTTCATTTATAGGGAGATGCTCTCAATGCATGTCGGTGGTGTTCCATGGTTATAGATGTGGGAATATTTTGCGGGTAGCAGATACAAAATGGGTTTTTACATGTTCAGGTTGTCGGATTAAAATGATGCTTAAGCTCACAAAGAATAGGTTGGGCTTGGCCTAGCCATCAAGATACCCTTCCCATGAAGAGGTATGAGTCGATTATAGGAATGTAATTGAGTGAATAATATGAAAAAGGATTGAGAGAATTTAACAAGATGAGAGAATAGAGCCAACAATAGAAATAATTTTGAAGTTAATTAGATACAATAAAAACTAATGACGATGATGACAATCAATGGAAGCAAATGAGAAAATTTTGAATTTGTATATATAAAAAACACCATGTCAATCTACCTACAACATCAATCCATATTAGGTCTGTATTGGAGCTTGGATCTGCTACCTACACCCTTTCCACAAGATGCTATAGTCACACATCAAGAATATCTTTCATACTTGTATATTGTCAACTAGCTCAATTGGTAAGGTCATTGGTTGGTTATAGCAAAGACTTGAGATCAAATATTGCTATCACTGAGGTTAGTGGGCTACCCTCAGTTGAGTAGCTGGAGTTCGAATTGGATGGAGACAAAATAAATCATAAACATCAGGTTGGGCAACCTACCACAAGTGAACACACCAGTGTTCTTTATGCATGAGGAAAAGAGAGGAGAATACTGGTATTTATATGTTATCGCAATGCTCGTGCTTAATCAGCTCCTGCAACATCTGGCAAGTAGACAGATTTGATAGTTTGGGGGCTTGGGGCAAAAGTACCTTGCTTTTGCACCCTTCACTGCTACACAAGATGAAGACATTCTATATGTGTAAAACCGAGCTCATTTATAGTATAAAAAAAGAACCCATTTATAATTTTGCAACCACTATTTTTTGCATTTGCACTCTATAATACATATTCTAAATGTTTAAAACTATGCTAACAGAACAATGTATTCAAGCATAACAAACACGCAAGAGCAAAATTTTAACATGCAGAACTCATAAAATAAAAATGGAAGAGAGATGGAGAGAGCACACCAGATTTACGTGGTTCAGCACTATGGCCTACGTCCACAGATGTTCAAGAACAAGAAATCCACTATAGAAGCTTCTAATAGAGTTACAATGGCTCTCCTTCTACAGCCCTTTTGTCTTTTACGTTCATGTCCTTTTCCCTCTAGTCTTCTCTCTTTTCTCAAAAGACAAAAGACAACAAAAAGGAAAACCTAATAGATACCAGCCCTTGGATCTTAGTTATCTCCAATGGTTGAGATTACAAGACATAACACAACTTACATTTATAAGATTTCCCAAAAATACCCTTGATGAAACCCCATAAACCCAACACTCTCCACCTTGGATTGTAATCAAAGTAAAGTAAAGAGTCCTTCATGTCAAGTAACCCACTTATGCATTCATAGATCACCAGTGAACTCACACCTAAAAAATCCATGAGGTGCCACCCTTGCTCCATAAGAGCATCTCCTCTTATCTCATATTTGAGACAAACCACCCAAATTTAGGCAATTTTTATATTTATTCACCTTATTCAAGTGTACTTTGTCGTTGGAAACCATCTCTCAAATCAAATGAAATTTCACATTTATATGATTTGTTCTTCCATGGTGCACTTAATTCTTTGCTAGGTGAATTGCGCTTTGACTATCACACAACAAGGTTGATTTGTCTTGTTGCAAACCCAATTCATTAACAAAACCTGTTAATCAAATAGCCTCTTTAGCACCCTCCACTGCGGCCATATACTCAACCTTAGTAATGGACAAGGCAACAACAGGCTGCAACATTGCCTTCCAACTAATAGGACCTCCCGTTAGAAGAAATATGTATCCCGTCATTGAACGACAACTATCTAAGTCTTTAGCATAACCGGCATCAAGAAAACTGACCAAATGATTTCTGTAAGACCCTCTATCAAACAATAAACCCACATCAGTAGTACCTCTTAGATATCGAAAAATCCATTTTACTGCATGCCAATGTTGTATCCTTGGATTCTCCATATACCTACTCACAACACTAACTGTGTGAGCAATATTAGGCCTAGTGCATACCATTGCATACATAAGGCTCCCAATAGCACTACTATATGGTATGCGTGACATATGCTCTCTATCTTCATCAGTTCTTGGTGACAATTCTACTGACAACTTGAAATGTTGTGCAAGCGGTGTCAGAACTGGTTTAGCATTTGACATTTCAAACCTTTCCAAAATCTTTAGGATATACTTCCTTTGAGAAACCCATAGCTTGCCTTTGTTTCTACCTCTGATAATTTCCATCCCAAGAATCTTCTTAGCCCTTTCAAGATCCTTCATATCAAATTCAGCACCAAGCTTTGTCTTCAATTCCAAGACATTCTCCATGTTTTTACCAACTACAAACATATCATCAACATATAACAACAAAATAATAAGTGATCCATTTTCTACAATTTTGTAGTAAACACAAAAGTCATAAGAACTTCGCTTGTAACTTGAATTAACCATAAAAGCATCAAAGTGCTTGTACCACTGCCTAGGTGATTACTTTAAACCATAAAGCGATCTTTTTAATTTGCACACTAGACCCTCCTTTTCAAGCACTTTAAAGCCTTCTAGTTGCTCCATATAGATGTCTTCCTCCAACTCACTAGGAAGAAATGTTGTCTTAACATCAAGTTGTTCAAGCTCTAAGTCAAGTTTAGCTACCATGGATAACACTGTGCAAATAGATGAGTGTTTCACTAACTACTGGAGAGAAAATGTCATTATAGCCCACACCCTCCTTCTGACATTGCTACTAATCTAGCTTTGTACTTCACTTTTTCATTATTGTTCCTTCCTTCTTGCGAAATACCCACCTACAACCTATCACCTTTCTGTTTTTAGGTGGTTCAGCCAAGTCCCAAGTATGATTTCTA